GTAAAATAATCCATGTGACATCAGGGGTTCAACCGTAATTTTACGAAGCTACGAGAATACTTTTTGTGCGCAAAAGAAAAAAAAAACGACTTTATTCAACAATTCGTCTCCTCCGCGTCACCCTGTAGCGCCATTTTGGAGAATATCCGCTGGACGTAAACAGCGTATGCTGTTCTGTGTCAGCTGCGCCACGCGGATACGCTGTTTTCGTTCAGATCAAATCACAACAACGTAGGAAACAGATCCGGCGTGACACAGCTGACACGGAACAACATACACTGTTTATGGTCACATGGATTATTTTACAGATCTCCATGCTACGTTTCTGGACTTGGGAACATTTCAGTTGTATTGCTGTCTATGCAGGGTCAGACAGCTCTCAGATTCCATCAAAAATATCTTAATTTGTGTTCCGAAGATGAACGAAGGTCTTATGGGTTTGAAACGACATGAGGGTGAATAATTTTCATCGAGTCATTTTTGGGTGAACTATCCCTTTAATATAAATAAAGACTTTGAAACTTTGAGATTTTTTAAACTTTGAAAGACCTTAATGTTTACTGTGATGTCATTTCAATATGCATAAAATATGCAGCATATGTTGTGATAAAACAAAATTCATTTTGTTATATAAAAATGTTTTGCATCATTTATTTTACATTTTCTGTTTACTTCCAGGTTTAAATTAATTTTGAAACCCCATAGAAACAGTCTCAGATTTTTGACCCCTCTGTACATATTTTCCTTGAAAAATGTATGATGAACTTATAGAATTCCATAGTGTCTTTCAAATATCTTATTATCATAATATAAATGTATGGTTATCTATAACACTCTCTGATGTTTTCTTTTTGACAGGGTTACTGCAAGTACTCAGTACTTTTCTATGGCTACTATAATAACCAAAGAACCATTGGCTTCCTGAAGTTTCGTCTCCCTCTGTCTTACCTCCTGGTGGGCATTGGGACCTTCGGGTATAGCCTCATGGTTGTGATCAGAACGTGAGTCCCTCTTTCATTCATTGCTAGATGTTGTAGCAATGACATGAAATGTTCTTGAGAAGTACATGTGACAGTGAATATCTACATTATTAGTTCTTACTGGATGACAAAAGGTTGTACAGGTACAATGCAGTGTTTTGCCTTACATCTAAGATGGTATAAAGATGAATTGTGTTGTCATATTAGACAGCTTTGCAGAAAAAAATCCCTGCAACCTAAAGGTGAAGTGGTTCATTTTGGCACTAGTGGAATTTTAATAATAATAATTAATTCCCTAAACACTTCTACTAGTACTTATACCTGAGCCTACCTTTCAGTGACTGTTTAAATGCATACATTTTTATGAACTGCAATTCAGTTCAGTCTGATTTTAGATTCCAAATGTGATGTTTATATGTATATCTGCAATCTGAATTACATGTTCGCCACATGCATTTGAAACAAAATTTCTGCAAATTCAAAGAGTGACATTTAATATTAACATACTATAACAGGAACACGCTTATAAGTTTTGTCAGACAAATATGAAGGCATGTTTTCACCTCAGAGTAAAATAGCAATGTAATTGTGAGATTTAAATTTTTTTAATTCCGAGTAGTATCTATTTTAAGAAATAATGTTGCGATTACTAAAAAATAAAGATACAATTACCGAAAATATAGTCACTATACCCTAACCCCTAACCCCTAACCCTAACAGTCACAAAATCGATTCAATTTGAAATTAGAATTATGAAAAAATAAAGACATTTGTGAAATATAAAGTTACACACCCTCATGTCATGATAACCATATTAGCCTCAAGTCCATTTCTTCACTAATAACGATTCAAAGGTTTGCATGCCAACTACCAAACTCATGACATTGGTCAAGCCAGAGGTTGAGATGTTCTCAAATAATGAATTTTAAATTGACATTTTTGGCATAAAAAAAGATAAACACTTCACCTTTAAATATGAAACCTTTGTTGTTATTTTGACTGCAATTGGAAATTGCGCTTCTGTTATCCTGCCGGCGAGAATGGATTCTCTACAAGTGTTGAATAAAGTCCACTCTCGCTGTTAGGATGGCTAAAAACGCAGATGTGGGGGGAGGGGACGGAGAAGACAATGAGTTCACCTTTGCCTGGAAGATGTTCACCAGCTGGGATTATCTTATTGGGAACGCTGAGACAGCCGACAATAAATACGCCTCCATCACCACCAGCTTCAAAGTATGTGACTGTGTGTATATGTGGAATTGTTTGGGTAGGTGTTGATGTATGTGTGCTGACCACTGCAGTTTTTGTTTCATGGTCTGGTTGTCCATTCAGAGACCTGAGCAGGTCACCTCTCTGTAAGACCAAATTTCTGCCACTGGTTTACAGTAATAAATCCTCTGGCCAGATCAATTGATATGGTTTATATACATGTTCAGACATGAACTGTAGCTCCAAAATGCTCATTCATGAGTTTTACTCATTTTGGGAACTCTAATGCTTTCTGCAGGAGTCCATTGTGGATGAGCAGGAGAACCAAAAGGATGAGAACATTCATCTAAGGAGATTCTTACGTGTCCTAGCCAACTTTTTCATCACCTGTACACTGGGAGGAAGTGGCTATCTCATTTACTTTGTGGTCAAACGTTCCCAAGATTTTGCCAACATGGACAACCTCTCATGGTATGAGAAGAATGAGGTAAATATAAACACAAGACCACATTCAACATTTTGTAACAAGATAGATAGATAGATGATAGATAGATAGATAGATAGATAGATAGATAGATAGATAGATAGATAGACAGCAGCCCAGTTAATTATGTAATAACAATACCATTGTCTCTCAGCTTGAGATCATTATGTCTCTGCTGGGATTGGTGGGTCCAATGCTCTTTGAGACCATCGCTGAGCTGGAGGAATACCATCCACGTATAGCTCTCAAGTGGCAGCTGGGGCGTATATTTGCGCTCTTCCTTGGCAACCTCTACACATTTTTGCTTGCTCTGTTCGATGAGGTCAATTCGAAAGTAAGTTCTCTGATGATAGCAGTGTTTACTTTCTATTTTTAGTTGGGAATCAGTGATTTTTAAGTAAACAAAACTCTTTTTTTTTGCCTCAAGCTTGAAGAGGAGGAATCTATAAAAAACGCCAGCCTTTGGTACATAAAGGAGTATTACGCCAACTACTCAGCTAACAACCCAAATGACACAGGCACCCCACCTCCTATGGACCCCGCTGATATCATCAGAGGCCCATGCTGGGAAACTACAGTGGGAATAGTAACGTGTCTTGTGTTCATCTAGCTTCTCCAGCAAAAATCATATATAGAATATATTGTTTAATTGATAAAATCTAAACATTTGTTTGCACATTTGGTCAAAATCAAACCATTTACCTCAAACCATTCACACTCTACCATTAGGAGTTTGTGAAGCTGACCATATCAGATATACAAGTGACTTATCTGACCATCCTCATCGGTGACTTTCTGAGAGCGTTGATTGTGCGTTTCCTGAACTACTGCTGGTGCTGGGATCTGGAAGCTGGCTGGGTGAGTCCAATATACTCTATAAGTACATCACCAAAAACCTAAACTGTGGCCATTTAAGGTTTTGATAACTAACACCCTTTTTCATTCTCAGCCCTCCTATGGTGAATTTGACATAAGCGGCAATGTGCTTGGTTTGGTGTTTAACCAAGGAATGATCTGGTAGGAACACACGCACAAATAACACAACATAAAATAGCAATGACATCACTGAAAAAGGGAAAACTCTATGTTAGTGCATAGTTAGCCGTGTACAGCTGACTTTTTTTAATACTATGCACAGAAAGTTACTACTACCTGAAAAAGTCTGCAGAAATCACACTTGTCTCTTTGAGATAAAGTGACAGATTTACTGACAGCTTGAGCTAGCGCAAACCCTCTTACTATTTTAAAAAGCTACTCTTGGGATTTACTAAATACATGCAGTGCATTAGTTCTTAGCGATGAAAAGGCATGGACAGTAATTTTTTTGCGGCTGACCTTATTACATATGCATTTGTATTTCCTTTTTGGACACAACATACATGGGAGGAGAGCATTTAAATACATCATGCAACATGATTTACTAAGCTTTGCGATGGTCAGTTAAGTGGTATTTGCTGCATTTTTTAACTCCCAAAAAAGCATGTCTTAACCTCTTTGCACTTGACATGGCTGCGGTAGATCAATAGATTGCATTGGTCATTATGGAAATGAGCTGGCTGTGTCTGTATTTTTTAAATTGCGCATTTTGTTTATAGATGACCTGCAGAAATTTCCACTCCCATCTGCGCTTTTTTTTTGGAATTGTGGACTCACACTGAATTGCCCTGTTTAGTAAATCTGGCCCTAGGCTCTGTGAACAGCAAATATTAATCTGGAGAGGCTCACACTTAATAAAATAATAAAAAACTCTCATTGAAGGGGAGGGTTCCACAGTTTGTGGTTAAAGAAATGGTTAGCGGTCTATTTCAATGATCTAAAGTGCGTTTGCACCAAGACTTAATTAGGGGTGTGCAACGCCAATACATGTATCTGTATGTGTACCAATGGCAAAATTATTTGTATCTGTATTCGGATAAACGCAAATGTGGTTTGGACTTAAACCAGAAGTTTGTCTAAACTGCATGAAAAGCTCATTTTAAATGTAATTTTGTTCCCTTCATAGTTTATATATTTATATACAAATATGCCTTAAATGACAACCCAGACATTCTACTCAGAGCTTTTACATCCTCAGACTCAGAATTATGCATTTCAAGGGTTATACTATTAACACCAAAATTAATCTGTGAAACTTGAGTAGGGAGTTCTTGCCCAGAACAGAACCATACCGCCAATCCAAACTGTATCCTAATTGTTAATCATCTTTGACGATAGTGGTCCTGACAGAAATTTCATCTAATGGAACACATTATTCCAATCTTTGTTTTTGCCATGTATTGATAAACATCAATATAACACTATTGTTGAATATTGATAAAGTGTTAGCTTAGCAACCTCCTAGTATCAGACTGTTGGAATCAACCTTGACAACTTGCATGTTGCGTCACAAACACTATTTGTGTGGCATATTTGAACATTAAGCGAGTTTCTGTCTATGTAGATATTTTCAATTTACGAGGTTTAATGTAGATTGCAGCAGCACACCAGGTTCTAGAACAGGGCCGCTATAAAGGCTTTGAACCTTTTTGAAAGGCTTTGAGATGTAATTTCTAGCAAAAGACAATTTTGTAGCTTTGCATTAGAATACATACCAAACATAACATATCAAAACAAGAATTAGCCACTGTAGATATCAAGCTGTTTGTCTGTGTTTGTCAGGATGGGGGCATTCTATGCTCCTGGTTTGTTGGGCATCAATGTACTGCGGCTCCTGACCTCCATGTATTATCAGTGTTGGGCTGTAATGGCCTGTAATGTCCCACATGAGAGGGTGTTTAAAGCTTCCAAATCCAATAACTTCTACATGGGCCTGTTACTGCTCATCCTCTTCCTGAGTCTCCTGCCTGTGGTTTACACTATCATGTCTCTGCCTCCCTCCTTTGACTGTGGACCCTTCAGGTATCCCTACACAAACAAGCTCACATATGCACAGAATACAGTAAATTAATTTTATTATCAAATGTACTAATTTTGACACTTCCTGTTTACCACAGTGGGAAACAAAGAATGTTTGACGTCATTATGGAGACCATTGATCTAGATCTACCTGCGTTTATGGGGACGCTCTTCAGCTACGTAGCAAACCCTGGACTCATTATACCAGCAGTTCTTCTCATGGTGTATGTGAATTAATAACGTTTTCACGATCACATAGTACATGCAAAATCCCTTACATTTGTGTTTTGTATTTCTTACAGTCTGGCCATTTACTACCTGAATTCTGTGTCAGAGGCCTATAAGAACGCCAACATGGAGCTAAAAAAGAAAATGCAGATGGTCAATATTCTTTGTGTTCAGATGCAAGACAATACATACTAAGTTTTGTAAAAATGGCAGAAATTTGTTTAGCCAGTGTGTGCTTCTAACATTCATTTCTAGGCAAGAGACGAAGAGAAGAACAGACGGAACAACAAAGACAGCACTAACCAGGTGATGAAGGACCTGGAGGATCTACTTCCAAAACGCTCTCCTGCTACTCCAGAGAATAGCGCAGGTGTGTATTGCATAGAATGTTGTTACTGACCAATACTACCTTTGTAATTGGTATCATAATATCAGATAAGCTGTTGCTGTTACCGTTCAAAAGATTTGAAAGAAACTAATACTTTTATTCAGCAAAGATCCATTAAAATTATCAAAAAGAAAACAAAATGTATTGCAAATAAACATAAACAAAATGTTTTTGGTTTTTTTTGGAAAAAAAAGAATTTATTAGTCAGCACAACCGTTTTCAATTGTGATGATGATAATAATAATAATAATAAATATGTTTCTTGAGCATCAGATCAGCATATTAGAATGATTTCTGAAGGATCATGTGACACTGAAGACTGGAGTAATGGCTCCTAAAAAATTGAGCTTTGCTCTCATAGGAATAAATTGCATTTTAAAATATATTAAAATTAAAAACAGCTATTTGTTATAACCCCCTGTTATAAATTGTTATAATGCTTCACAATATTACTGTTTTTACTGTATTTTTTGTGTAGTAGGTGCAGCCTTGGTGAGCATAAGGGAAAACATTTCTAAAATCTTACAGACACCAAACTTTTAAACGGTAGTGCAATTCATGTTGCAGGTCGCATGTATTTCTATAATTTAAAAACAAATGTGCATAACTGATAAAAAAATATGGTAAATCTTGAGAACTGGATGCTTACATTATTAAACTCTCACCCTTCATTCCATTTGTTTCTTCCTGCCTTAGAAAAAAAACATGACCAGGGTGGAAAATCTCCAAAAGTGAAACCAGGCTCAGCTGGAGGTGGCGTGCATCTGCAGAAAGATGTGTCACTCGCATCAGCTAATCCTAGTGCACGGGGGCCTGTGACTCGAGCGCCAGGCCCCAGGGGACCTGGACCTCTACCTGGCCAACCAGGGCCAGGCAGGGGTCAAGGGCCACCCCCTAGACGGCAGTAATGTGTGATCTATTCATTATCGTGTGCTCTGCTGGTCTATACACTGTAAAAATGAAAGTAAGCATTGGTTGTTTTATCAAAGAAATTAATATTTAAAATTATTACATGATTTGCTGCTGCACACTTCTGCAGAAATTTGGAAATATGGAAATAGCATATTAAATACCATACATTTCCGTACAGTAAATTGCATACGGTGGCCCCAAAAAGAATTTGGTCACTTAGTCACATCTAAAAACATTTTAATTTAATTGCATTAGAATTTAATTGCATTACCAACTTGCATCTTCAAACAGATGGCAGAATTTTTCTAAAAACTAACTTCCTTAACTTCACTGAAACACTTTTTAGTGACTTTTAACCGCCTGATTTTCAAGATGAAGTTAGTTCATCGGGTTTCATTCATCATCATCATATTACCTATCAACATCTTCTACTGACAATGGACATCCAAAAAGTGTCCAAATACTTTTTGTCTTCATTTTGAACAGTATATTGGTTGTTTTATCAGTTAAAGAAAAAGTGTGAAATGTTTTGCTTGAAAAGCGTGCTCTTGAATTTTTCTTTTAAAGGGGTCCTATTATGCTTTTTCACTTTTTAAATTTTAGTCAGTGTGTAGTGTGTATGTTTGGGCATAAAAAAGATCTAGAAAGTTACAAATCTCAAAGTCCACTCCAAAGGGAGATATTTCGTTTTTTAAAAATCCCTTTTCAAGAACTACAACGAACGGCTCGTTTGGACTACAGCGTTTGTTTTCCGGGCTTTGTGATATCACAAAGCGGCTCATTGGAATATCATTACAAATAATTCCCGCCTACAGAAATTCTAATGGTTGGGGGGTGGGGAGGGGCGAGGTTGTGGTTAGAACGCTTGGTTGAGTGAGTGCATCAGACGAGACGACGAAGAAGAAGTGCTGCTGCAGAGTTAGTGCATCAGAGAAAACGAAGAAGAAGAGCTGCTGTGCTGTAGCGTCAAATTTTCGGCATGTCTAGAACAATTCTTACAAGTATAACACGACGTAGCTGGGCGCCGCGGACAGACGCCGAAAATTAAGTATTTGAATTTTAAAGATGTGATGCGACGCGACGCTGCACTTCTCGTCCGGTGTGCGACCGCCTGAAACACTGTTTTTTTTCACCTCCGTACCCAAACGTCTTTGTTTGGGCTTCTGAAAGCGGATGG